ATACCTGGGAGCATCGGCTCCCCGGGGGCTTCATCGGCAGCAGCAGCCTGTCTGTGTGGCCCTGTGGCACAGCTGCAGCTTTGGCAGAGGGAAGGGAGGAGGATGCGTTTTCCCCTGGAGACCAGCAAGGCTGGAGGTCCTTGTCCAGGAGGCACCTACCTCTGAATTCCCAGCAGATGGGCAGGTAGAGAAAAAACTTTCGGAAGATTTAAGTGTCCCCTTATACTGCCATGCTTGTCTATATGTATACATTATGAAGCATTAATTGTATCAGTACATTTAGAACATAAAAATAAGATTTAAAAAATCCACATAGGTAATGGTAGGGGTAGAAATGCAGATTAGTAGGCAGGGAGCCTCAGCAAGTACACAGGCATCAACATGTTTATAGAGTGGTGATTTTATTTTCATTAGGGAGTTTATTGGCATAAACATTAACAAAAAATCACCCAGGGATTGTTTTTCCTTTGCCATCATGATGGCAGCTATATGTCAGCACTCACAAGCATACCAACAGCAGCAAGCTGATGAGCAGTGGGCTGTGTTGGGTCAGACTTACAGTTTGGGCTTTTTCTGCAGTGGAGAGTGTGGTCGGGTATAGGATGAAGGGTTATTTGTGGTTGTTAGAACTGTGCCAGCAAAAGTCCTGCCATGCAGTTTCAGGTACTGGCAATTTTTTGCCATTTCACTGATAAAAGTTGCATCCATGTAACACTTTATCAGTACTAAACAGATCAGATCTCATGCTCCTTAGGCAGTGCTCCCTCTGAAGACAATTTTGGGTGCTGAATTTATCAAATATACACTGTAGTCTGAGTAGTAGTTGTAGAACCTGGCTCTGATCTGGCTATAAAGGCTAAGCTAAGATTTCAGTGGTGATGCTGATGTTGCTTACATTGGTATTAATGAGTAACAGGGAATGCCAACAGCAGTCATGTGCCAGTAAATGCAACAGGGTTGTATCAGTGCCAGGTCGAGTTGAGTGAGATCATGATCGAGTCCTTGAAGCTGCTGTGCCTGGATTGGGAAATCAGTCTGGGCCCTGGCAAAGGAGAGATTTGGTCTGGCTGGGCTCAGACTCCACGGTGTAGTTGTCTACCTGGGAGCAGCCTGCAAAAGCTCCCGCTGTAGCCTGGTCGGTGCGGTCAGGGGGCCCTGGGGAGCACACCCTAAAGAGCACACCTGAAAGTGGCACCTAGAGCTGAGCCAAGTTACCTAAAAATAGCTGTCAAGTGCAATGAGGGGCAGGTGTCCAAGACAGCTGCACACAGCTGGAAGGCACCTTGTGGGGAAGCTGCACCTTGCTGGGGCAGGAGATGAGGACCAAGTAGGGTTCCCCACAGCGTTGGCTGTGCCATCTACATCTACCTGCAATCAGGTTTGGGACCTGATTCCTGCCTGTAGTGCTCTGTAGGCTTGGCTGACACTCTTGTTTGGGGACTCAACTCGATTGCCTGAACATAAGTACACAGCGTTGCTGGAGGTGCCCTGACTGATTCCTGCTCGTCTCCAGAGGCTGCTTCTGGATGGCCCATGCCTCTCGTAGGTCCTGTGTCATACTTGCATGATGCATGCTATGTGGAGATATTTTAGATGCCTTATGACATTTGACATGGCCCCAGGTGCCTATGTTTAGGCAACAAAATCTTGCCCAGATTTCTACAGGCTATGATGACAGCTTTAACATCTAGCTAACATACAGACACCTCCATTGCAGACGTCAAAATTTAGATGTGTGAATCTGGAGCTGAATCCCATCCTAGGAGTGACATATTACATGGGAACAATAGCAAATAAAAGTGTAGCCTGGATCAAAGTAAATGTTTATTTTAAATGGTTGCATTTGTAGATATACTGCTGTCAGGAAAAAGGAAAACGATTGAAATACAACAATTTAACTAATATGCTGTTGTAGGAGTTTAGCTGCCCAGATAAAATTAATGAATTTGCCTCAATATAAATAAGTAGAGCTGTTTGTGTTTGCAGTCTCAGAAGAAACCTAACCTAGGATGCGGCCTAAAAGACAAGATGAATAATCTTGATTGCTAGCATTGGTGATCCTGTGCTGTTGCTAGACTAGCAGGTGGGAATTTCAGAAAATCCAGTGTGGATTCAGCTTAGACCTTTACTTCTCAGAAATCTTGAAACTCCTTGAATTTTTTTGACCAACACTTATAATGCATGAGTCAGTGCATGACATTTTGATTTTCATCTTACATGAAGTGCTGTGTATATCTCTACTCATGTGTGTAGATGTTACTGATAATAATTGCAGAACATAAACCTGGTTTTACTTATAAGGGATTAATCAAGAGAAGGTCATTTGAGGTCAGTGGTGCTGCACCAGTATAAAGCCAATGACAAGTGGAACAAAATTGTTTCCTCAGAATTTTTCATTGATGTCAAGAATCACGTTTATGCTTAAGTGACTGCAATACTGGAGCCTATGAGTTGTGTGCTGGATATTTTATTCCTACTAGTAAGCGGTCACTTGATCAGGTCCTGCTTGAGTAGGTCACTTAGAGGAATGTGAGGTTATCAGTTTGGTTTCCTCTGATTTTTGCTATGAGAGGATTATGTTTTCTGTTTTATTAGTATTCTTCAATGCAGTTTACAGATCTAAGCTTAAAAATACACATCCTTCAGTATTGTTCATTGCACAGCAGAGATTAATCTTGCTGTCATTTAGATCAGTACTGTAGGTGGAGTGCTGCAGAAGGAGAGCAGTCCTCTCTTTGCAAATGTTATTGCTCAAGATAAGGGTGTAAAAAGCAGATTAGGAGATGACATATGACGTGCCCTTTCCTCAGTCTAAAAGTACAGGATCATGGGATGAACTTCGCCTGACTGGTTATGCAGAGCGTGCTCACATTTCTAGCTCTTATGGACAAGACAGACTGCAAAACAAAAACATAAAATGACTCTCATGAGCTCCCTTCTCAGTCACTGCATATGTGGAGAGCCTTTACCTGTGTCTGATTCTGAGGTAAGAACCTTATTTAACCTGCAATTTTTCTGCTCTGACCTTGGAGGGGCTGGTTTAAGGGACAGCTTTGCTGAAGCTGTGTCGGTTCTCCCACCAGGGAGGTGCTCTCTATTGAATTGCTTATACTATTAAAACTGCTTCTGAGCTAAAACCTACAGAGAAGCTGAAGCATGCCTGAATGACAGGTGTGACGCCATAGAAATCAGAATTTATGCAAGTGCTCTATTTAGAATAAATTTCATGCTGTAAGTGAAATAATTGAATGTAGAGCACTGTATGACATTAATCATTTTTCATACCTTAATTGCAGTAATCATGTTAAAATGCTGACTGCTTAATAACTCTGCCTACTAGCTGAAGTGGTTTCATACAGTGAAATTTGTCTTAAGCTGTCCTTCAAATAAAAAGTGAAATCTGCCCACTGTATCAGGTGGCCTTCTAAAAAAGACTCATCGGAGTTGTACTGGCCTGGTTGAAGGTGGTAGCTGGAGAAGAAGGTGACAGAAGATAAGTCCTCTTTCACAGGCATCATTGTAAAAGGCTGATTCTAGGCTGCATGTTTGCTTTGAATATGCAATACCTGAAATGCCTTCATCTGGTCTGAAACAGATGAAGAAAATGTAGCCAGAGACAGACAAAATGATGCCTCTCTTTTTTGGAATGCTTATTAGCTTTGAACATCATCAGAAATGCACTTGGGTAGTCTAAAGATATCCTAATAAAGAAGTAGGCTGATTTAAAAAAAAAAAAAAAAAAAGTCAGAATTAGTTCATAATTTGTATGAGAACTTGGGGCAGCATTCACTTGCTCACAGCTTTGGAGTTTGCCATTCACTTCATCAGGCGTTCATGCAAACTGCCACCCAGCCCAGAAACACCCACCTTCCTCTCTCTGTTTCTTTTCTGTTCTTTATAGAGGAGCCAGGAAAAGCCAAGGAAAAGCTGAGAATTTGGAAATTTGAGGGAAAAGTGAATATAAATTTTTATGTGCGGTATTTTTTCTCAAAATAAAAACTGCAGGGATTTTGCTAGAAAAGTTTATGGCAGTATTACTCCACATGCATTGAAATCCTTAAAAATGTTCCCTCTAACAAGCATTTCAGTTGAGGTTATTTTATTTCAAAACTTGCAGTACCAGTGCAATTATGATACCTGTAGGCATTAACCTCCGTGAGCCAGATGTGCTGTTAAATAGGAACAAAGTGCTCCTTTTCCAAGCGTCCTCTCTGAAAACATCAGTTTTTCCTGTATTTGTGTTATAATGTATCTCTGGTCCTACTCCATATGACTGTAACCTCCCTGAGCGTGTAGAAAATTAGCTTCTCTCTTTCAAACTGGATGAGCTCACTCACCCAATTCGCACATGGCTGCACAATCTCTAGATCTGACCCAAGCGAGAGCATGGGAGCGAGTGGTAGGAGGGGGTGCGACTGCCCGTTTTGGTATCGGCTTACAGTTACGTGGGGTCGGCAAGCAGTCAAACTGCAGCCTTACTGTTTATTTTCATCACTGAATAGAGGTAAAGCAGAGGAGTGTCATAGAATCATAGAATGATTTGGGTTGGAAGGGACCTTTGAAGATCATCTAGTCCAACCCCCCTGCCATGGGCAGGGACATCTTTCACTACATCAGGTCTCTCAAAGCCCCATCCAGCCTGACCTCGAACGCTTCCAATGATGGGGCATCCACTACTTCTCTGGGCAGCCTGTTATAGTGTCTCACCACCTTCATTGTAAAGAATTTCTTCCTTATATCTGATCTAAATCTACCCTCTTACAGTCTGAAACCATTGCCCCTTATCCTGTCACTACAGGCCGTGGTAGAAAGTCCAGCAACACAGTGTGCTGGCTGAATTATTTTTACCGGTGTTACATGTAACATCCTACTTGTGCACAGGAACAAGTCCTGTGAGTGCCAGAGCTGTCTTTCCAAGACATCATTCAGTGAATTCAGTGTTTATGATGGGGCCTGTCTGTACTGCTGAGGTAATAGGTGAGTTTTTGGTGTTATTAGTCATGTTTGCCTAAGAGGTGCTGATGGTTGGGTGTTAACCTTACTCAACACAAGCATCATGATGTCTTTCCTTTGCAGAGTTACTCTCTTCTTGAATTGTCAGTTGCATTTATTGTATTTATTATGGTAATGCTTTCTTTTTAGCAATGTTAAGTTGATCTGCCATATGAAAAACTCAAAAATGATTAAGTGTCAGAAAATGCTGTGGCTTATTTGACTTGTTCACATTTAAAAAGGTTGTTTCTGATGACCACTGGAAGAGGTCCCCATCCCACGATGAAGAAAAGACAGACACACAAAAGGTCACACCCAGGAGATGGGGCTCTGGAAAAAGATCTCGTCCCAGACCTCTCTCAGACTATGGCCAAATATCGATCAGAAGCTTCTCTATACCAGAAGATGCAGTTGCGGTGGAATCTCAGAAGACAGACTGCACGGATGGAGAAAATCAGCCAGGACTGGCTTCTGTCGGGTCTGTGATCCAAAGCAATACAGTAGGCTACCACAGAGGGCGAAAAAGAAGACCCATCTCCGTAATAGGTGGGGTCAATTTCTATGGAAGCGGTCCAGCAGAAGAGATAGAAGGTCTGCTGACACAAGTAAGATAAGAGATGTGCTCTCTGCAAACTGCAAAAGACCCTTTCACTTCCTTGTCTCTGTCTTCAGCCTAGAAAATAGAATGGATGCTTCCTTCTCTTCCTTCCTTTTTGTCAAGCTGACATCGTGTACTTACAATTCTGCTTTCCTGGTCACTAATTACTTTGTCTTGTTGTTAAAAAACAAAACAGCATGGAATAAAACTGATACTGACTTTAGCATAATATTTTTTGTATTGTAAATTAACCTTATTTCTTTCTTGGAATGGTTGTTAAGTCTCATATTGGTGTATAAGAGCTGACTTGTGTGTAATACAGCTGTGTGTTTACTCACCTTACAGGCTGTAGGTCCTGAGGAACAGAGGAATACAAACAATATGATAGTAACACAGACTTTATTGATCATTTCAAATTCTCCAAAAGCAGGCCTGTTCAAAACCTGTGGCATTAATCTAAGAAAACCGTGAATATGAAAAAACCACACCCAATATGTACTTGTTTATATACTACTAAATTGATCTGATGGAACGTAGGAAGCCTGTAAGAAAATAGCAAGTAGTTGAGTTAGTTCTTGAGCAGTACCTATATACTTATTTGCCATCTCTGTTGGCTTAGGTGAGAGACTGATAAAAACTTCTGAAAGATAAAAATAGCTCCTTTTTTCCTGGAGGTAGTTCTGAGCGGGTATGATGTGTAGAGGAACTTACTGTTCTGATGGTAGTGGTGGCCCCATCTTGTAGTTGGTTACAAAGCTTCAGGCTCACAGGCTTTTGTAATACTGCACTGGTCAGGTGTTTTCCACTTTGCAGAGAAGCTGGAGGACTCCTACCTAAAGCAATTGTCAAGCTGGTAAAGCAACAGAAAAAAAGGAATAGTATTTACATCCTCAAAAAATGTGATTCCAGTGGTTATTAATGGAATCTGAATCTTCTTAATCTTTCTCATGCTACTTTATCTCCTGCTGGGAAGTTCAATACAGTATCATTCATGGGTACTGTACTCTCCCGACTGAAATCAAATGCGGAAACAATGGCAGGATTTTAAGTCTCCTGTGAAAAGCAATTTGTAACATGAGGATTGTTATTGTATATTGCACATTTTTTCTTTATAATTCCCATGCAAAAAAATGCATCTTGAAGCAAAACTCCAACTGAAGCCAATGAACCTTTTACCCAGGCAAAGGCTGTAGTTTCAAACCCTATATAACTGGGATATTTTAAAATAAATTTTATCACTACTTAGCTTGGAGGAAAAAAACTGGGAAAATTATTGTTATAAATTCTAGGCCATCTTAGTCAAGAATAATAGATGGATTTCAAGGGATAGTAGGTATTGGCAACCCAAATAATCCTTGCTGTACCATGGAAGTGATTTAGCACTCTCCAAGCCCTTCATTTACTGTTGAAAACAAATTGATCTCTCTTCAAACCTTGCTTGCATCAGTTTATTAATGAAGGAGCATGCATCAAGGCAGCTATTTGAGCTGACTCTTTCCGTGCTCCGATGCTGCTGCGAGGGCTGGCTGGGGTTAAACGAGCACATTGCTGGATCACTGTGGTCAAGACCAAAGCTATGAAGCATTCCCAACGGGGACACGTTTTTAACCCAAATGATGGCCTTCCCAGGCCTGCCACTGAGTAACAGCACGTCTTTGTCTGTCCAGGGAAGGGATCTGGACTGAAGCTTTACAAGAAAATTTTAGTTGCCCGGAAATAAATAGCTTTGTTGCTTAATCAGCCAATTATTTGCATATAGTAATTGCCATCATTCCTATTAGCTATTTGATGCAATATATTGGACTTACTCTTGGTGGTGTTACTCAGTGACAGGATCCTGGTATATTGCAAAGCACTGAAGAAATGAGGTTTAAAGATGAAGTTGTAGTTAAATCATATTCAATACACAGCGGTTTTTGGCAGTCATATTAGAAAGTAAATTTGTAGCTGGAATGTAAAAAAGGACTAATGAAGCAGGAATACATGTGCTAGAAGTATTTTATGTGGGGCTTTCAAAGACTGATCTTCACCTTGCTGATTTTTTTCTTAAAAGCTTTGAAAACCCACGGGAATATTTGAAAAGTGTAATGCTAATTCCTTCTTTGTTGTGTTTTGTTTTGGTCTGACAGCTTAGGTGTGAGAAAACGTTTTCAAACAATACTAAATTGTTGGTTTCATAATAGAGTGTCAAGAGATCATAAAAAAACAACCCTGATCTTTCAGATTACTTGACAGAAGGGCCTATGACCACTAACAACTGAAAGATAAGAGAAGATGTAAAGAGGAGTTTCTCTGAAGTTCATGTGCTGAGGTCTGGCTGTTTAATGTTGAATGTTTATGCAAGGTCATTCAGCCTGGCTAATGTGGAGTTGTTCAGGGATGACATCAAATTAGACTCAATTTGCAAATAAAACAGGGGTTGATTCTCTAATCATAATTAAGCAAATGAAAGATTTAACTAAAGAAAATGGCTTCCAGATAAAGTTACAAGTAAACTTAAAATTACCTCTTTTTAATGAGACTCCTGGGATCTTCAGAGCAGAGGATCATTTAGACAATTGTTTTTGTCTTGTTTATTTTACTTATAAGCAATACATTTATTTGAAGAAAGCAAGTGTCCCAGGAAATGAACACAGCTTTCAACCGCAGCATTTCTGGTCATTCTTTCACTTTGGGTTTCCCTTCAGATGTGTGCTTACAACGCCAGCCGGCATTGCGCAGGCTGTTCTCAAAGCAGTGAGATCCCAGAGCGTTCGGGCACAGAGTGTTACAAGATGAAAATTATAGAGCATGTCTGATCATAACAGAAGGCTAAGGAGTTTTTAACGTAACAGAACTGTAACGTAATAAAATATTTTCTGCAGTGCTGGTGGATATGGTATGCGGTGTTTAAGCAATGTCACTTCAAAGTAGGCGATTTTTTTTACTGCCCCTGTAATTAGCTGGACTATCTGAAGAAACCTTACTTCATACCTGAGTTTTGCTCAGTTGAACTTGCTGGTAGCTTTACTAATCCTGGATTTTCCTGTTTTCTCTGTAGCCTGTAACACGTCCACCTGTTCCAGCGCACCAGGTACCCCCTTACAAAGCTGTTTCAGCCAGGTTCCGGCCCCTCACCTTTTCACAAAGTACCCCCATCGGCCTGGACCGGGTTGGACGAAGGCGGCAGATGAGAACATCTAACGGTAAGACGAGCAAGTCTTTTTAACTTTCTAGATCTCAACTTCATACCCCAGCTTGGTCAGGAAGTAGGTTATAGTGTGAAATGCAAAAGGGTGCAAACTCGGTGGCAAAGTAGTACCCAGCGAAGCTGCTTTGTTTTATGACTTTCTCATGAGTAGTTTTTCCTGCTGTGTACATGTAAAACTTGTTTTTCACATCTACTGTTTGACATTGCTGTGGTTTATTCTTTTGTACCAGTTACACTCCTGTATTTTCCACTCTCTATTCACATACTTGCCTGAAGATAATAATAGAATACGAATAAAGTAAGGCCCAATATGCTTGAGTTCATACCCAAACCATAGCTACACCACACATGTATTTTTAATTTTCTGTTTGCCATGCATTCAGCTTAACTACCTAGATAGGCAAGACTTAAATTATTAAGCAGCTTGTTTCAGAGATCTGTGTGCAGTTGCAGTTGCTGACTCAGTGGTGAGTGTAGCCCAGCCAGGGTTCTGGGGCATGATGGACAGATTCTTGGAAAAGATTGCCTTTTCAGAAGCAGTACCCTTTATCAGACTCTGATGTGCCCTGTGTATTTTTTCTGTAATTGTTTACTATGAGCATGCAATGCTATCTTGAGTTAATAGAAAGTCTTATCTAGTATTAGTGGAACATTTCTTGGCAGGTGAGACCAGAAGAACCTGGGTTCGTACCATTTGTGTTCTTTCAGACCACCGTGAGCATAATCTAAACAGTTATTCATGTTTCACTGGCAACAGTCGGACATAAAAGCAAAATTTTCACTTTATATTCTTCACTGTTAATAGTGAACAAAACACTACTGGGAGCCTTCACTCTGCCTCTCTGTGGAGAGAATAAGTAAAGGTATCTGGATCAGGGCTTGCCATGACTGAAGTAGGAAAGTTAACAAATACCATTTTCAATGTTTCTTTATTAAAATTATACATGTATTTACTAGTCAGTACTTGGCTTTTATGGTTCTAAGGTAAGTTTTAGCTGCAATGATATCCAAATCCTGCTAAAAAAATCCCTCAACTACGAATTCATTTATATAAGAGCATTTAAAAACTGCATTTTCCAGTCTTCCATAGAGCATGACAGTTTTCTTCAGAAGGTGCTCTCCAAGGAACAGAGTTGAGAATTTCTAACTATATCAATGAGATACATTATATATACTATATTTAATTTATATTGTAGTAAAATATTGGGATCTACTTTAAAACCCATGTCTGGAGTGTGTCCTTGCTGTATGTATCTCAGTATACTTAGTGATCCAGATCAGACATTAAGGTAAATTCGACATCTAATGCTGCAACCCTTGCTGAGATTACGTGGTATCTCAGTCCCTGATTCGAGAAGGGCCACTCAAGAATAACAGGTTTGCCATGAGCTTGTTTCGAAAAGAGACTCTTTACACATCACAGAGTAGGGATTCCTTTTTTATTTTTAGTTATCCTTTCCATTTCATGTTTGGAAACCACATGAAATAATATTAGTTACCTAGACAACTGCCTGAGAGTAGTATCTTTCCAGGTATTTAGCTTTCGAATAACTGGTCTCCTAAACATAAGGAACAGAATGACAAATACACAAAGCAAGGTTTCTGCCACTTTTCGAGACAATGAAGCCAAAGCAATATTGATTATGCTAGATGTGACTTTTATGACTCATTACAATAAACATAGCAGTTGAGCAGGAAAAGGTTCTGGAATCAAAGCCCTGAAAGCAACTGGGGAATATCATGGGCTTCGCAGTTTCAGAGCAGTTGCAAAGATCTGTCAAGTAGCTCCAGCAGAAAATAATAAAGTGACTAGTGTCACACATTCTGATCTCTTTCCTTTTTCTCTTAAATTCACAAGGCATTTCCTTGTCTTTGAACATGTGAGAGTTTTTTGTTTGCTCATGTACAGTGAAATTCGATAGCACAAAAGCCCTTTATTATAGAAAGAAATTCTAAACCCAAGCACTGAAAACCAGTGGTATCTTATTTTAGTTACTGGCTAAAGCCTAACACATTGCATGCCTACTTTTTATAACAATGGGAGATAGGATTGGAGATGTAAATTTTTAGAAAAGCAGCTGTTACAAGACAGTAAATCATCATACCGTAGGAGACAAAATAACAACCAGCCAACATGTAGGGGAAACTTCCCTTGAGACTTACATTGCTACTCTTGTGCTTAAAGGGTTACAAGTTTTAAATTATATTAAAGAGGTTACCTATTTATCACAGTAGAGCAATTTTTATAAGTACCTTAAAAACTAACCCATCTTTTTTGCATACTGTAGACTTGAATTTGGCTAAATTAATTGGTGAACTCCTTTAGATAGGCTCTGAGTAGGTGGGGTTTAAGTCACCTAAATTTAGTCTAAATGTAGATACCTACATAAGAGTTAAACATTTGAATACCAGTTACAGGCAGTGGAGGTCTAGGGCTTGATTCAGGACCCCACTCCAGGGTCCAGATATGTGCGGGATACCTGAGTACCTGCCTGCAGCTGGCAGATATGACAGAGGACCTATGGGAGACCTGTTCCTTTCTTCAGTGGCAGCTGGAGGCCAGTGGGATATCCAAAATACTTAAAATGGCGCTAAGTATCTACCTTTAAACAACTGATCTGAGGCCCTAGCCATTGCAGTCAATAAAGGTTAGGGTAGGAACTGCCTTTGGATGAGGTGGATTGCTCTTTCAGCTGTTTTAATTGTGACCAATACCTGCTGATTTAGATGGTTCATTCAAATGTGGATTCCAGCATTTAGATGAATACATTTAAATGTCTTTAATTCAAGTAGTATCCTGTCCTGGATGTTTGCCCACAGTGTTGAACTACTGTCAAGCTTTTCCCAGTTCATCAAGGTTGGGTAACTGAGTGGGTTTCAGCCTGTGTGGAGCGCAGCTCAGGAGCTGAGGTGCAAACAAACTGGCTATTGGGGAGTGGAGATTTTCAGGTTCTTCATCCCTATCACTCGTCAAATAAACAAACCCCACCCCAAATAGGCTATTGGCTGTGGAAGTGAACAAACAGAAGTTATCACTCCTCGAGAGAAAACAGTTCCCTGCTTGCTACCATCTCCTTGCTACCCTGTCCTCGGTCCCCCACCCCAAAAGCGTGAGGATGTCAGTAGGACAATATGCAGGAAACACAAATTCCCGGGTTACTACACTGAGCACCGTATTTGTGATTGCCAGGAGGTGGGTGGAATACCTCTGATGCTGCAAGCAGCTCCATGGCGATTGCTGTATTCTGTGGCCAAAGTGCCTGAAAACCTCAGGGAGGCAGAAGGACTCATGGACAGGACCTGAAGGGGCATCATGAAATCCACTACCGCAGGCTCAGCAGTCCCAGTGTTGCTGGGAACAGAAAAGCCTCTGAACGGGAGGATGATGGCTATGTGATACTTAGAAGGATGGGACTCTTAACTGATGGGAAAAGATAAAAACTATGCTGGTGGGTAATGGGATTGTTAGTCGCATAGATAGCTGGGCTTGGTGATGCAAACAGGACCTAGCAGTGTGTTGGGAGCAGCTGGTGCATCAGGTGAAGCACCTAGGCAGTCCTAGGGACTCTGGAGGGCAGGTGTTAGCTGTGGGGCAGGTGGGTGCCAGGGAGAGTGCGATGGACAAACACTGGAGGCAAAATTGAAGCTGTCAGGTAGAAGCTAAAAGACCAGGAGCCCAATGGTAAAATTGTCCAAAGTGCTGCCAGTACCACACTCAGTGTCAGACAGAGAGGCCTTCTTACCTCCAGGCACCTTCATGCAGAAAGTTGTATTAAAAAGAAGGACATTTAGATTATTTATGAACCAAGGAACATTTGAAATAAAAAGATCCTTTGTTTTCTAAACCAAAACAAAAGCAGGCTGCTGACATGCAAATCCAGAGATTATGGAGTAGTTTCTAAACAAAGAATTAGGGGAAAACTGGCAAGGTGAAATAATGCACAGTATAGGACAGCACATCCTTTACAGGAGATGTCAATGATCACTGCATCCTCAAATGAAGGATGGGGCAGAAGCTGACAAAACTCAAGCAAGAAATAGTCAGGAACAGTTGGACAAATGTTGTTTAAAGAGGATTTAGAAAAACAGGCAACCCTGCCAGTAATGGTGGAAGTTTAAAAAGTAAGATGGAGAAATAAACATATTTTTAAAGAAGCTAGATGGCATATGTCAGAAACTTGGTCAAAGGAAGATAACCAGTGAAGCAGAAGCAGCATATCACCATTGTGCAAGCTGTATAGGAATAACAGAAAAGATTGTACCAGTGAAAGAGGGTCTCTAATGTATTAAAGGAAAACTAAGAGCCAAATCAGATAAACAAGTTGACTGTATCATCAAGTGTCACAGGATCCGTGGACTGGAATGCCATGCCTAAATGGAAAAAAGTATAGTGACAGGATTTAATTATGAACCACCTGAGATGACCAGGGTGGTGATAGTAAATGTGACAAACGAAGGAAACCAGAAAAGTTTCAAGGGCAGCAAGCACGGTCATAAAAGGAGATTTAAATTGCTGTCGTGTGGGTTAAGCATTGTAATGGGGCATGGTGCTACATTTTTAGGTTTACCATAAATAACTCCTTGGTGCAGCTAATCAGGAGACCTACAGTAAGGGAGACAATTCTTGAACTGTTCCTGAGGTGTGTGCCGGATCACACGTAAGAGCTGCTCTGTAAGGGTGGGATGTGTCTCATCTGACTCCGTAGACTTCTAAGCTAAGCTAGCTGACCTTGACTGGAAGAAGCAGATAATTTAGGGTGCTGTTCATTGACCAAATACAGACAGATAATGAATCTTGCCCTCTTTGTCCATAATGCACTCTGAGCCAATATCCTTGCAGGGGTGAGAAGAGTAAAAAAACCCAATACAGTATGTATTTTAATTAAAAGAGGGCAAGTAAATAAAAGTGAGGAGTTATTTATGTAACAAAGGAATTTAAGGGAGCAGAAAAAGGTGTTGAATACTTGCAGGCAGCACAGAGAGTGTTCAAGGGCA